TCTCTCTCTCTCTCTCTCTCTCTCTCTCTCTCTCTCTCTCTCTCTCTGACATTACTCACGTTGAGGAGATCAGCGGTGAGACCGCCGCCGTTGGAGGGCACGACTTCCTCGGTCGTCATGCTGCCCGACTCGTCCGACACCTGATACAGCTTGATGTCGCTGCTGGACACGCGCTCCACGACATCATCAGGTTCTCCCTCCGCCGTGATCTTAACAAAAGACACGACAACAGACACGCACATTTTATCATCAAGCTCGTTAACGTTTATAATGCCGCTAGAAGACCGAAGTGTTTCCATTGGTCAGCCGGTTAGAGCGGTCGATCAACAAGCTATAACATGTATTGGGTTTGGGATGTGCTTTTGTTTTTGAGTATTTGTTATTGTTGAGGCTTGGGGACGCGATATATTAACGTGACAGAAAAAAAAAACTTCAATACAAAGCCTTCTTATAGCGCGAATTTGGATGGACTCAGCGCTCAACTACGTAAGTATTTGCTAAACGTTTAACGACCGAACTACCTACCAAAGCCAAGCCTCAGTTGGACCGGTGCCGGTGTTACCAACAAACGACAAACACCAACAACAATACCACCACTACCACTACCACTACCACTACCACTACCAACACCACCAACAATACCAGCAACAACAACAACAAATCAACACACAATTTCTTACCTCTGTGTACCCCCCAAGGGTGTCCCAGAACTCCGCATTCTCCGGGTCATCGTCCAAGAAGGTCATCGTCGCGCGTCCCGCTCGGTCCGTGTCCTGTCAAACAAGTCAAGAGAGACGTCCATCCCGAAAGCCTGTTAGTTGGACATCCCGCGCGGGGAAACCACCAAAATCATTTCCGAGATGTGTTGCTCCATTCCGAACTCCCTGCAAGCCAAAGAGGAAGCACGACACCGGGAGGGACTGCCCGTGTCGTACATCTTGCTCGCATGGAGGAACAAAGGCACCTGCTCTGGTCCGAAGAGCGACCAAGCTGTGCCTCTGTCACGCGCTACACCCTTCCGACAAGCGATAAAACAAAACAAGCCAGTTGACACAACAGCACTGCTGCCATCACCGCCATCACGAGCCCTTCAAACGAAACAGCCAGGAACACCAACCACAAACAACAGCAAAGTACCATCACCATCCTGAGTTTGTCACGAGAAAGTTAGCCAACAATACCAACGACAACGACAACGACAATAACAACGCCGCTATCGTCACCACTACAGTACCGCCAAACTTTCGATGTGGTGATTTGTTTTCGTGGTGGATACGCCCGGTTCGTCGGCAGCCCCAGCACAAGACAAGACTAGGGTCCTCCAAGGCGCGCAGAGTTCCGTTCAACTACACAACCACAGCCACAAAAAAGCAAAGACTACTTCTGACCTTGATGCGCTGCATGCTCTGCACGCCCTTGGACTTCTCGTACATGTTGGCATTCGGCCCGCTCCACAGGTAGAGCTTCAGGCCCGCATCGAGGATGAACACGTCTCCATTGTTGAGGCTGTCCGTCGAGCATGCTACCTGATGCCAAAACGCGACCCAATCCAAAAAAAAAAAAAAACATGATTGAGAATAAAATAAGGCAGAGTTGGTACCTGATACCAAATCCGACCCAATCTCATCC